TCCCACAAAAAAGACTCACGCACCAGCTATGTGAGCAGGCACCACATGGAGGGTAAAGACTGGGCAAGCTATTCATTTGCCTTCCCCATTTAAACAAGACTGTTTTCTCATAGCCCCAGGGAAGCAAGTAAGATCAATTGGCAAACAAACTTCTATTAAGTGCACTTGCTGGAAATGTTTATACGTTGTTCCTGAAAAATACTGAGTTTGCTGAAACTCCAGCCCAGTGTTTAACAACTCGTGTTATATTAAATGCTCTGTGTGCGCATGTTTGGGCACCTGCTGTGTGTAGCAGAACCTAGCCTGCTCCAGTCCTTCCTGCCTGCCACCCATTTATTGGCATATGGCAAACCTATTTGAGGAAGGAAGGCAGATCATCTGGTTTCAAGCCAGCACAAAAATAAAATATCTGCAGAAAGGGCACCAAATGCTTGTTCCAAACCAGACTGGAAACACAAGATGAAAGAAAGACCTCTAGAGTGTGTATGTTTACTTCTAAGAAAAGAGCATATCTCAGTCCATCCTAGTCCACTTTCTATCATTTAACTCCCCCCACCCCCCAACAATGTGAGCTTCTAGGCTGCTTCTATTTGGGGTGGATTAAAATGTGTTTTAGTGCTCGTGTGCAGTAAACACACTTTGCCCCCTGCCACCGTATATAGACTTTTGTGGTAAGGAGAGTGATGGGAAAATTCACTGGAAAGTGTAGCATAACACTTGCTTGATGCAGCACTGCCTAACCTCCTTGCAAATCGGAATGAATGGTCACTAAGCCATTTTGGGGTGTGCAATGTACTTGACCATTTATCTCATTGTATCCTTGCAACAACCTTTATGGATTTGGTTACAGATAGGTAGCCGTGTTGGTCTGCCATAGTCAAAACAAAGAAAATTCCTTCCAGTAGCACCTTAAAGACCAAGTCTTTAAGGTGCTACTGGAAGGAATTTAAAGACCAAGTCTTTAAGGTGCTATTGGAAGGAATTTTCTTTATGGATTTGGTTAGTCAGAGAGCTAGTTAGTTAGACAGTGCCTTGGCTGCAACTTCCAGAGGACCAGCTACCTTACTCTGTCACACAGAAATCCACTTCTGGTTTGTCCCCCTCAGCTTTCTTCATTTCAGCAGTAACATTTTTGGAATATGTGTCATTTTTTTGCCATTATTTAGCAGCTGGGAGTCAGAGATCATTGCCAATCTACCTTTGGCCCACCACTGACCTAGAAGAACCAAATATACAATGTGCAGCTTTTAGGACCTGAAAGAAAAAACACTATATTTCACATTTATCTGTCATGGAAATCCTATGTAGTGCTAATTAAAAAAACCCAACCTCATTCTCTGATTGTGGATCCTTATGCAACCAACACAGCACCACCCCCCACAAGAAGCGAGATATTAGCAGGCTTGGGCAAACCTTAAAGTTTGCAGAGGTACAAAAATGTATGGAAACAAAACTAAGGGGATCTCAACGAGGATTGAGCATGTCCAGTGGGGTTAGGCTCCAGCTTGAGAAAGACACATACTTACTTGGGAGAAAGTCCCTGCTGACTTCAATGGGTTTCCCTTGCAGTTAATGTGCACAGAATTGGGCTATAAAGCTATGTACACATAAGTGGTTTGAAACACAGTAAGTTCATCTCCCGCACCCCATGTTTCAAGTTGCACTCTTACATTTCTGTACAAACCAGAGAGTGGGCAGAGATGCCTTCACCATTTCCTGATTTGTTTCCCTGCATTAGATCCCAATTTACTGAAGCTATCATCTGCACATGTGCAACAACTGCCTGAAATATACACACCTCAGCTTAAACGCAGCTTCCATTTTCAAGTCGGGTGGAAGCTGGTTTGAAGGAAAGCATGTGAAACAGGAGTATTTCTAAATAAACTATATAATAGATATGGAATGTGGCTAACGTCATGTGTGCTCGACTTCAAACACCAGCAGCAGGAGTACGCTGGAGTCAGAGTACATGGTAATGTGTACACAGCCTCAGCCTATGGAGATAAGAGGGACTGATTTTTGAATAAATATACACAGGACTGGGCTACATACGTACAGTCCCACATACAGGTTCCTTAACTTGAATTGACTTCAGTAGCTTGCATTGACTTTAAACAGATCCACTGTGTGCAGAATTGCAGCCCAAGGGTCCATTCAGACTAGCAGTCTTGTCAGATCTCATTTTAGCTATGTCTTTCACTGCCTCCCCTGCTGTTTCTTGGTACACAGGGCTTTCACCTCCCGGAACCACACAACTAATGGTTTCCCTATGAAAATAATTTGCACAAACCATCATAAATTTGATGCAGTGTGGTCAGAAATAAAATGAGTGGTGAGGTGAAGTAGCCAGGTTCCAGGGACAAAAAGATGTCATGGTAAAGTGAAAAGAAATTAGGATAATACTGGTCCTGAATTAGGTGTATGGTAGTAGAGCAAATTCAGTGGAAGTGTCTGTGTTTCATAAAACGGCTCCAGCAGTGGAGGGTGGGTGGGGAAATAGCAAAAGAAAGACACGATATACTTTTTTCTGGAGTAGGGGTTACCAGACTGTGGATGACCAGTGGCCTGTGAGCTTCATGCAGATGGTCCACGATGTGTCAGTGGATTTGTGGTTGAAGGCAGGAGGTGGCGCATTCCAGCCGCTCTATGGAGTTCAAAATGTAAAACAATAAAATACAATATGTATAAGAAATAAAAGAAGCAATTAAAATACAATTAACATCATCCAGCATCCAGCACAGGTGCATTATAATTGCTACAACAGGCAGAAAAAAATCATTAAGTGGTCTGCCAAGACCCTCAGCAATTTTCAAGTTTTTCAGGAGGAGGAAACTTTTGAAGACCATCTGCTCTGCATCATGTAGCTTTTGGCCCGATTTCATCCCTGTGGAGGGGAGTCTGGAGTGGCAGGAGAGGAAAGGGTGGGAAATTGGGGGGATGGGGATGACAACCAAAATGGATGGAGCAATGGAAGAAGGATAACTCAAGAGTTATCTGTCCCACCCTGAACAGCTCACCAGGCAGGGAAGAAGAAAGAGTGAGAGAATGGGGGAAAGGGGAGTGGTAGCCCTGTTTATTTCAGATTCTGGGCATGCCCACATGCCACCACCAGTATTTGGCCACTGAGATATAATAATATCCAGTTCCCCAGGGGAAATTCTAGTCCTGGATAGTAAAAACATTATGTACACCTCTTTTTAACACAAAACCTTTCTTATGAAAAGCATGGATGGCTAAACAGTGACTGATTGCAGGATGTGGAGCTGACTGTGACTCATGTGATTATTATTAATTACTGTTTACACAGTGATCAAATCACAAGTTCACATACATTATTTCAGTGCTGTTTTGCTCACTCTGTCAAGTAATCAGTACTGTTATCCCAGTCTCAGGCTGGCAGCATTGGTGGGGCTGCGACTGACAAACAGTGTCTTGTTTAAGGCCACCAGGTGAGTTTTCCGTGGGATAAGCTGGCATGTGAACTGAGCACTAAACGTCCAAGGATACTTGAAATGTGAACCAAGGATCAAAAGGTTAGAGATAAAAGTTTGGAACCTCAGCCAAATGGATCGAAGACAAATTGAAATAAGAGGACTTACTTCCAAACAGAAAGTTCAGAATGGATTGAAACAGAAGTACTGTACCAAGGGAATATGGGGGTAAGTCCCCAGTCCTCAAGGCCGCCTTCTCTGCTATGTCGGCTCTCATGGCATTGTACTTTTAACTTGCATGTCAGTTTGTATAAGATGTAGGGCCTGCAGACTGGGTTTCCTTTTGGTTTTGACCATTTGTTCCCCACCCCCATCCACCCCACTCGAAATGCCTTTGGCGAATGTCAAAGCAGTAGTAAAAGAGAGAGGAAGCCGCGTGTGTGTTTCTTTGCTCTAGGAATGGTGTCACTGTGTTCAATGCTAACCCAACAGAGAGCGCTAGAATTCATCCATCCACATCAAGGCGCCAAAATCCAGTCCTGGTCTTGACCGAGATTTCGCCAGCCAAGGAAACCTGCTCTTATTATTATGAAGTCTGGGAGACGATGCTTTCTCTTAATTTACTAGAAGAATAAAACAAAAACAAGCCCTGAACTGGAGCTGCGTGCGCACTGGAGCAGATTATCGGCTCAAAAGCGAGCTCGCGTTTCCAGTGCGCGTTTCAGCCGCTTAAGCGCAGGGGGAGGGGAGGCTCGATCGGGAATCCACGTCCACAGGAGTGGATCCACCCTAGGTTAGGGCGTGAAATGGAAATGCATACCTCCCGGGGAGCAACATGTTCTGGGTGCGCAGAGAACTAGGCGTGTGTCGGGTGTGTGTGTGTGTCTGTGTGGATGAAACTTGATCACAACTATCTTTGAAGGTCGGCCACTGTGTGTGTGGCGTGGACCAGAGGAGAAAGTGGATCTTACCGCTTCCTGGAGCAGCTTTTTCTGGACAGGATGCGACCCATTTTTGGAGTCAACTCCTCTAGAAATGGACGATCGAGACGTATTAGACCTGGATTCTACCACCCCTGGTGGGCAGGACTCTCCCCGAGCCACGTTTCCTAGCGCAGTCGAGTCACCCCACTCTCGCTTCCGAGGAAGCTCCCGCCCTTTTCTTTGCTGGAGGCGTGTATGCGTGCAGAACACCTGCTCCGAGGCGGATTTAGCATGCTACTGGTTTACAGAACACCCTCATCCAGCCCCTTCCAGTGTAGCAGCAGAAACAAGCCCCCCCCCAACCCTTTTTCTTCCCTTCTTTTAATCTAAGTGCTTTTCGTATGTGCCATCGGGTGAGCGGGGAGCACGACGGCATCGGATGAGGACGCGCACGCAATCGAAAGGAGCATCCGTCTCTCGCGCCGCTTGCTGTGGCTTGCCGCTGCTCCGCGCTGCGCCTTGCCAGCCGCCCGCCTTGCAATTCCCTCTCCCACCAGCAGCAAGCAGCAAGTGGACGCGAGTTGAGGGGAGGCGAGCGCAAGACGCGCGAGCAATCAGCCTCGCAGGCTCGTGGCGCGCGCGAGACGGAGAGCGCGCGCGCGCGCACACACCACACACACATCGAGGGGAGGGGAAGGGCTCCGGAGGCTTGGCATGTTCCTGTGTGGACGAGAATCAGTCCGCGAGCCCAGGAGCGGGAGGGCGAGCCCCTGCCACTAAGGCGCCTCCCTCCCTCGCTCCATTCATTCGCCTGCTCTCCTCATGCCGGCGGCTCCCGCTCTTTCGCCGCCCGTCGCCTGGGACTCCAACCTGTTTGTGGAGGTCACTCTTGGGCCGCCAGCAGCCTGTGGCTTCTTCCCTCCGCCGCCTCCTTGCAGCGTCTGATGGTCTTTGCTCCGGGGAGGCGAGTCGGAGCTGGGCAGTGAGCGAGGAGGGAGCAGCATCAGCAGCAGCCCCGTCGCCCTCGCACGATCTGGGACTTACAAGCCAGGCAGCCATCCCCGCCCCATCTCTCACACCCCCCGGCCCCGGAGGGATTTACTTTGTCAGGAGGAGCCCGCGGGGCTGACGCGCCGCCGAGAAGATGTACCTAGACCCTGAGGCGGCCAAAGGTAAGCGCGGAGGAGCCCCCTCTCCCTCGCACGTCGGTCGGGGCAAAGAGGACCGCCGCCCCGCCGCCTGCCTTGTGCAGGCAGCACCGAGCGCTTGCTCCGGGTTGCGAGTGGGCAGAACCGCCGTCTTTGTGTGAGCGCCTATGTGTCTCTGTGTGTGAAAGAGGCGGAGGTCGCGGCGCTGCTCCGCGCACCTGAAGGAGGAGGAGGAGAAAGGAAGGCGAAGAATGCCCGCGGCTGATTGGGCGGGGAAACGGGGGGAGGGGGGTCGGCACCTCGCAAGGAGGCAAAGCGGGAGGGGGGCAGGAACGTGTTAGCAGCTGCGGCTCCGGAGGGCGGTGGCGGGAAGCGAGTCCTGAGGCGGCGAGGTCTCTGGTCCGAGGAGCTGAGGGAGGCTGCGCGGGGACTGACAGGGCGCAGCGGGGCTTTTTGGCGGGCGCAGCCTTGAGGGGAACTTCTCGTGAGAACCCCGAGGTCGCCGCCTGCTCTTCGGGCACTCTAAGGGGAGGAGGAACCAGCCCCACGGCTGGCGTCGCTTCCGGGGACTGGCGGCGCCTGAGGGGAGCGGGAGGGGGATTCGAGGTGGGACTCTTGGCCGAAGCTGCCCCCGCTCTCTGCTCGCTTTCCTTCCACGCCTTGCGCCTTTTCTTCTCCGCCCCCCACCCCACAACTTAATTCTTGCTTCCCTCCGCCTCTTGCTCCCTTCTTCCGGTCTTCCTTGGACTTCGCGGAGTTTCCCAGTTGCCTCTAGTTCTCCCCCAAAAGTCACTCTCGGGTCGCCGCTTCTCTTCTTCGCCATGAGTCACGAGCCGCTCCCCTCGGAGCCGCCGCGACCGACGAGGCACCTGCTGTTCCTGCAAGAGAATGCCCTGCAACCTGACCGAAACCGCGGCCCACCGGCTTCCCGGCCGGGCGGGATGAGAGGCGGCTCGCCTGCCTCCCAGACACACGCGCGGGCTTCTCTGGCCGGCAGCGGCAGCTCCTTCCTTCCATCAACACGTTTGCTGTCGCCCGTGAACACTTGCTTTTCTGGAGGGAATGTAGCCGGAGTGGTTTGTTTTGCTGATCTAACGCGGTAAACAGGCAGCTTTCCTGAGCACAGTGTGCACAAATGCGCGCAGCACATACTATATATATCTCTCTCTCGCATTTTATATTCTGGAATTGCTACCAAATCAGCTTCTGGCCCTGTACTCACAATAGATGATACAATCCCGCAGGAACATGTGGCATCAAGACTGTGGAAAGCCTACACTTTCTCTGTTGCCTTGTGTGTAGAGAAAAACTGCAGTTCATGTGTATGGGGAGGGTGTGTGTCTTGCCTTCAAGTGACAGCATTGAATAAGCTCCTTGTGGATGTGGCATTGCCTTCAGGACCCCGGTGCTAGATCAGGCGATGATTTATTAGGATCCAGGAAGATGCCGGACCTGGAATAGTTATTTTCTTCCCCTTCCTAAGCCTGTATGATCATGTTAATGCACTGGCCTGATTTCTGAGAAAGTGTCAAGCAACCACTTACATACATATCTAGCAGAAGCCTAAGGTTTATGTGAGCAAGCAAGAAACCTAATTTAACTTGTGAAAGCAGCATTTATTGTCCCATTCAATTTAATGGAAGTCTCCCACAGTGTGGCCAGAATCTACTTCTCCAGAGGATCTCACTGTGACTTACTTAAAAGAAGCTTACGTATTTCTTACCTCCTCTGTGTAGTGGCTGAAGCCTGTGTATCTCATACGCTCAGGTGGACAGATATGCCTGCATGATATAGTAGGTAGAATGTGAGACTGGGTCTAGGGGACCCTGGTTCAACCCCTACCTGCCACCCACAGAGCTCACTTGCTGTGCCAATCTTGGGCCAATCCGTCTACTCTGCCTCACAGATGGGGGGAAAATGGAGGTGGAGGGTGAGCCAGATATGCCGCCTCCTTGGCACATCAGAGAAAAGGAAGGATGCAGATGCAATAATAGGTTGCCAACAGCTATAGGTGGGATGCCCATGTGCCAGGGGAGTACACCTCTGAATACCAGGTGCTTGGAACAAATGGGAGGGATGTTGATCATAAGTTTCCCAGATGTATCCAATTCGGATGGGGAACCTGTGGCCCTCCTGATATTGTTGGACTCCAACTGCCATCAACCCCAGCCAGCATGGCCAATGGTCAGGGATGATGGGAACTGTAGCCCAGCAACACTGGGGGGTGGGGGTGGCAAAGGTTCCCCATTTCTGATCTCTATTGGAAAACATTGCTGGGCTAGATGAGCCCACAAGGCTCCTCTTATGCTCTAATTTAAATGTTATACTCAATGGTGAGCCTTAGTGATATCCTGTGACAAACATTACCAGGAACTAATTCTACAGTACTGCATTTGTAATGTTCTCTCTCTCTTAGTATTTTGAAAGTTGCTGTCTTATTTCTTTCACTTTTGTACAAGTGTAGGTAGGAAGAACACATGGCATCCATCCTCTACCGCATTCACTGTTAATGCCATCAATGCATGCAATCCTCCATTCCAAACAGCTGTATTATTTTCAGCTCAGCTTTCGTAGGCCTCTAAATCCACTTTCCTCTCGTATTAGAAAATAGAAAAGCCAAGATTGCACGCAGTGCTTCAAGAAAGCATGAAAGTCCACTAAAGAACAGTACCATCAGAATATTTTTCACATTCACCATCCGATTGTCACTAGTTTATTTTTCACAGCTGTACTGTAATCTACAGTATATGAAGCAGAGATGTATATTAAGCTACCTACTCCTGTTCATGTTTCTTTGCTGAGATACTCCCGTTACTGCAGATCGTGGCACTTAAATTCTTGCTGAGTAGATACTTTATTACAGAGGCAGTGTGATGTAGTGGTTAGAGCACTGGTAAGACCTAGGTTCAAATTAGCTCTCACGCCATGAACTTTACAGAGTGACTCTTGGCCAGTCACACTTTTTCAGCCTGACCAACCATTATGGGGTTGCTGTGAGGATAAAACTGGGGAGCAGGGGGGAATCGTATATACTTTCTTGAGCTCCTAGCAGGAAGGGCAAGATATAAATGTAATAAATAAATGATAAAGGGCACCTCTATTATGTGGATTGGGAAAGTTTTGTGCTCTGATAAAGTCACACTCCAGCACTATTCCAGACTTTCATTGCTCCACACCTGTCCACTTTCTTTCTGTTTAGCCCCATCAAATGAATTAGTCTGATGAACTGTCTCATTCCACTCTGCTTGCATTTCTGTGATCTTTTTTGAACCCAGCTGCATTAATGAGAGTTTGCCCTTACCCTGCCCCCACCAGTGACCACTTACAAAGGGAGGACACTGCCATAGCTATTCCACAGCACCAACAAGCACCGTACAATAATTTCTTAGCATGGCTGTCCCTCTCTCTTCATTTATGACCTTGGTTGAAATGCATGGGCAGATATTACTTATTAAGAGTCAAGACATTGACCAGACGTGGAGGCCTGGCAAAGGAATTGCTGTGTTGGGTTAAGCCCATAATGCAGTTCTCAGCATTCCATCTACTCACAGCAGCCAGCCAGGTACCTCCAGGGAGGCTCGTGTGCATTACGTTTGTTCGTCCTCAGCATTTGGTTGTCAACACATATGCTGCTTTTGAAAGCTGAGATCACTTCTACATCCTAACTGACATACACTTACCCAATTTTTTTAAAAGGCTTTATGTTGGCAGTTTCTGCGACTTCCCCACATCTCATTGACGCACGTCTTCTTTTCCTCTACCAGCATCCTACTAATAGAGCAGCAACAGATGAATGCAACCCCCCCACAATCTGGCACACCTCCAGAATCTCCTGCACCTCCTATTGGCTAAGTAAGAACACTATCCTAAGTGTTCCTGCACTTAGTTTTAAAGGAGTGCCATAAAAGCGCCCTTCATGCCAGGATATTCATCAGACCTAATTGGGACTATTGAGGGGTCCTACTCTGTGGCTCTGTAGGGCAGGACTGGAGCTCAGGGGTAGAGCATCTGCTTTGCATGAAGAAGGTCTTGGGTTCAACCCACAGTTTCTGCATGAAACACGGGTGAGCTGCTGCCAGTTAGTGTAGACAATATTGAGGTAGATGGACTACTGGTCTGACTGGGTATGAGGCAGGTTCCTGTGCTTAAACTCCAGAGCATCTTCACTCTTTGTGCATTTTGCTGTATTCCATGACCATGTTGTGCAAACATTCCCAATGTGATCATTCTTTGCTACATCCTTGTGGCTATTTGTGAAGTTCCAGAGCTTACTCTATGTGAAATGGCACTTTGGTCCTAAGCATGCTTATTGCTTAGGAATGTCCTCCTAGGTATGCTTAGGGGTCACAGTGGAAGTGGGTGAAAATTAAGATCAAACCGTCTTCACAAACATGGTATAAGACTGTATGTATGATGTGATCTGAATAAAAGGAATCGTCTGAAACATCCTGTCAATAATAACGGCTAAATCAGAAGCCTGTAGGCTGACCAGTCCTATTCAGTGAGACCCCCAACTGGTCTTTGGAGGAAATACAATGTAATTGGTGTATACAGTGGTACCTCGGGTTACAGACGCTTCAGGTTACAGACTCCGCTAACCCAGAAATAGTACCTTGGGTTAAGAACTTTGCTTCAGGATGAGAACAGAAATCGTGCTCTGGCGGCGCAGGTGGCAGCGGGAGGCCCCATTAGCTAAAGTGGTACCTCAGGTTAAGAACAGTTTCAGGTTAAGAATGGACCTCCGGAACGAATTAAGTTCTTAACCCGAGGTACCACTGTACAGGAGAGCAGGATAAGCATTTGCCTAGAGAAATATGGTCGATGTGGCATATGCAGCATGAGAGTTCCAGATTACTATGCTGTGGTGTGTTCTGAAAAGCAACAAAATAGGGTTCTGGCTCTGAAAGAATTTGAATCTTCAGTCTGTGAAGATTCAATGTGAAACAAAATGATGATACAATTCCTCCTCAAAAGGGGGTGGAGGGCTTGAGCAAAGTGCTGTTGTAGCAGGAGTTTGCTAACCC